CATCGTCTAGTTCCATAGTTCCATGAGCTGTTTGAAATCCCCTGGCATGCACACAACACATAGATTTATACTTAACTTTTGTCAGTATTTCTTGTTTGCGCCTATAGAGTCCCCAGATCCCCTGATGAATCTTCTCCCTGGAACATGACTGAGATAGATGCATACAGCAGCCGGGCCTCAGCCCGCCATTCTCAGGAGGCTTAAGCCGTTGCCGTTTGTGTTATCAGTGCCAAAGCCAACACTGCTAGTCTGACTCATAGTGACCCTATAGGACAGTGGAACCGCCCCCGTGCGCTTCCAAGAATGTGCTAAGTCGTCATGGCAGCAGTAGTGGTCTTCAGGCCCCCTTGAGTTCAGTGGGTATGAGACCACAAGGCAGTGTTTTTTTGGTGTGTGATTTTTGGTGGGGTTCAGCGCTGGGTAGCCGGGACCTGTTTGATTTAAGATTATCTCAAGTGCTTTTGGAGGCATAGCTCTGTTCTGCCTCTTAGCCAGTTCCGAACCTCGAGGTTAGCCCTGCCTAGCCCGGGGCCTCACAATTTGTGTGAAAAGGACAGCTGGAGCCACCTGGCCTGTGTAAGAAGCTGCCCCTGAGAGGCGCAACCCCAGGACTTGTGCCCGCTCCCCAAAGGCAACATGGTAGAGGACTGTGGGGTTGGTCCCTCAAAGCCTCCATTGTGGCCACACTCGGGGAACACAAGTCTCCGACATAAATTCAAATACCCTCTCTGTGAATGCCAACTATCCACTAGACTAGAAACCCTTGGAATGGACATTCCACTCTAGAAAGCTGTGAGAAGGGACATTGGATAGCAAACATGGTTTCTGAACGGCCAGGTGGTAAGTGCTGACTATGTTAATGCAACACAGGCAAATGATACTAAGAAGTGGAAGCGATGATTGCACGCTAAGTTAATAACCTAAAAAAATCCCAGTGGGCAACTGGGGACTCCTGTACCAGCGCAAATAGGGGCCTCTGTTAAGATGGATCATCTCTGGTCCACTGACTGCTCCCAAAGTGTCTTTCAGCAGAACAGGAGGAGGAGCAGGCAGAGCCAGCCATTGCCCTGGTATCCGGTCCCAGTGTCACAGAGCTGTGGCGGAGGGCTGCCTGGTGGAATCCGAGAGCCCTGGCGCTGAGCGCTCTGACACGCAAACCCCAGCCCTCACCTCCTAGGACCACGTTATTCTCCCCATGTCTCAAACCACTTCAGTGACACCTGGCATCATGTTCCAATCACCGCATCAACCCTCGTGTGCGGGCTCTGAAAACATGACCTTGAGGGTTTCTTCTGGAAGACATCCACCCAGGCCTTCCTGGTAGAGGGCTGGTGTGAGGAGTGGAGCTTCCCCAGTTCCCGGCTGGAAGTGGCTGCAGCCCTCTCCATTCATTCTGATGACCCCAAACGTGCCCTGACACCTCTCTTCACTCTCAGACATGGTTAGGTCCCAAAGGCCAGGTCGCTGTGTGAAAACCAACGTTAGGTGGAAATGGAGGGTGCCTCCCTCGTTGCATAGCTGCCAGACCCCGGAGGATCATGGTAACGTTAGCCACCGTAGCCGGCGATGGGCTGGCTCCCTTGGCGTCTGTTTCTGGCAACCATTCACCCCTAGTGCGCAAACCAGACTTTTTACTGTTGTCATCAATGTCAGGCAACAAGAGAGTTGGTACTTGAGTGGGTGTAGCTTCTA